GGCGGGTGCGCCTCCACACGAGCCCAACGAAAGGGCGCACGGGGGAGCGAGGAGCCGGCCGAACGGCCGCGCGTGACGCCGCGGCCCCGGGAAGAAGCCGCTCGCGAGGCGGGCAAAGGGCGCTCCCCGCAATGAAGAACGGAAGCGACAAAAAAAAAGGAAGTGAACGAGCGCCGGCAGTCGCCGTTTCCGCGAGGGCAGGGGGCGCTGCCGTCGGGAAAGCGCAATCCGTTCCCGCGGCGACGGTGGCCGCGCGGGCTCGCCGGGTGCCGGTTTTCGGTTTCCAAAATGCGGCTTCCGGAGCCGCAGCAGGCGCGCGGCCCCTCCCGCCGCCGCGCGTCTCGCCGGACGACGCCGCAACGACCCGCCTGCACTGCGAGCGCTGCGGGGGATGGCAATGATGCCCCGCCGCGCGGCGGGGCACCAGGCCACGAGCGCCCCCTCTGCCGCGCCCTCGTCATCGGGGACCGGGGCTCCTTTTCGCAACCCATTCGGTGGGGACGGGCGTGCACGACGACGGCGCCCGGCGCGCGGGCCATCCTACTAGCGATGGGGGCGGGGGAAGACAAAGCATCGCGCGGGGGCGGGTGTGAAAGTTGTGCTGCCCTCGGGCCCCGGCGAGCCCGCGGGGAAGCTCCAGAGTGAAGAAACGGCGCGGAAACGCAAAAAAAAAAAACATCGAAACCCGGCGAGGCTCAAGCGGACGCGTTCCCGTCTCCCTGCCTGCTGTCCGGCGCGCATTCCATTCTGCCCCGGCAGTTTTATGCCTTCCCGTTGCCGAGACGACCAACCGCAGGCGCGCGTTCACATGTGGGCACGGAGCGGGAGCGCAGGAGGACGAGGGCGGGCCCCGCCTCATTTCTTTTCTCTACACGTAAAGCCTCGCGTTCTCCGCCGTAATACGGCTTTCGCCGAGGGAACCGAAATAGCGCCTAAAAAAGTTTCGCCAACACCCCTGATGATAATCGTGATTAACCTCACAAAACCCAAGCGGGATCCGGGCGGCCTCCTTTTGCGTCGAATTCATGCAGGCAAGGTAAACGTAGTACAACGCGAACGGTATCGCGGTGCAGCCTCCCACGCCCGCGGCGACGATCGACAGGACGGCGGCCCCCATTTCCCATCGTCCCTGCCCGGTGGCCAAGTCGTGGCGGCGCGTGCCGAGCGCGGCTATGGCGCGAATGCCGACGTAGAGGGTGAGGAACGCCGTGAAGACGAAATACCCGCCAAAGAACCGAAAGGTGCGCTTGGCGACGCAGCTCCCCACCACCCCGCAGTGGTGGTCAAATTCCTCCACGCAGTAGTCGCAAAACTGGCAGTGGGTGCTTCGCGGGGGGCGCACGATGTGGCAGGTTGGGCAAACCTTGCAAAGTACCTCCTTTCCGTTGACGATGACGGTCTCGGGCTGCCGCGCCGGGTCGTGCGGGAGCGGCAGCAAGATGCCAGGGTCCACCGTCACCGACAAAACTAAGCAAGCAATGGCAGCCGCGGTGAGGAGGGAAACGACGGCGTACGAGTAGAACTCCCCACGCGGGACGACACCAAGCATAAAGACAAGGACAGCCACCAGCATAATCACAACGAGGCAGAGACTATTCGCCCCATCACGAGAAAGAACGCAGCAACAAATCAAATGCGAGCGCCCGATGACGCGTTTCAGCCCACTTGGAAGGAGCGGCTGGAAGGGCCGCAGTTGTTGCTCCCCCGGTACAACCGGAAAATACACTTCCCGTGACGCCTTTTGGTGGTCACCCTCGTGCGTGCGCGGCTCCTGGCGCAGCTGCTCCCCGCGCGCGGTCGGCGACCCGTCATCGCGTTCCATCAAACCGGCTGCTGTAAGCAGACTCACTGCCTCTTCTTCGCGCTGTGTGGGTGCAAAAAGATAAAAAGGGGGGGGGAAGAGAGCGTAGAGAGGGAAAGACGAAGACTGCCCAAGCGATTCGCGTGTTTGCTTGCATCCGGACGGGAGACGCGGCGCCGCCCACACCTCAAAGCAGCAACACTTTTGCCGGCACAGGAGAGTGCCCAAGAACTCGTCACTCCTCTCCCCCGCACCCTTCATTTTGTTGCGGGGGGTTTCGCACCGCCTCTTGTCTCACATGCGTGAGGAGTCAGTTTGTTTTGCCCGCCCTCCGCTCCGCCTCCAGCTCCTCCTCAAGTGTATCCACATCAAACCCGAGCCCCCGCATCTCCTCCAGGTAGCGCGCCGTTGAGTCTTCTTCAAGTTTTCCCCGCTTCCGCGGTTCTTCTTGCTGCAGCTGCAGCCGCCGCCGCCGCATCGCGTACCCAAAGGCGGCCATGCCAATGCCACAGACAACGAACGCACGTGCCCCTCGCCACGCCACGCGGCGTAAAATAGACGTATTCTCTTCAAAAGTTTTGGCGCCCATCTTCTCTGCAATTCGCATATTCTGCATTGTGTGTTCATCTAACGCAGCAGGACGCTCCTTGCCATTGTCAACCGTCATTCCTGCCTCCTTCCTTTTAGCTGCCCTAACTTACGAAGAAGAAATGAACGGGAGAGGCAGTTCCATCGCCCCAAGCATCCAAGACGCGCCTACGGCGCGGCGTAAGACGCACACGCCGCGCGCTGCACGAGATCCTCCCCTACACGTGTAGTGACACGGGCACGCCCACGCGCAAAATGGCTAAGTGCGGATACAAGGCGTCTGCCTGTAATACAACGACGGCGGTAACTCGCACAGTATTGAAGGGGGAAAAAAGACAGCAAAAAAAAAAGGAAATAAAATACCAGAAGATCACACCAGCACACCCCATTGGTGACGGCCACGCCCACACGCATATACGTACACACACACAAAGAGAGAGAGAGTAAAACAGACTGTGCGGTAGAACTCTAATCAGTGCTCGTCAGTAAAGTAGTCTATGTTATTGTCCTCCCTTTCCTTCGCTCCTCACGCCCGCGCCAGATTTATATATATATATATATTTCCGGTTCGTTTCTGCTTGCTTCGGCAGAAAGGTCGCGCTTCGTTGCCTGCGTCTAATCTACGAAAGGATACGGTTGTTTCTTTTTTTATTCTTTGTTTTTTTTTTGTTTCTTCCAAGGCAAAGAACTCCACAGAAGCGGAAAGGCGTACCAACATGACTGCAGCTGAACCGCCCGCATGGCAAAACCCATTCCCCGCTCCCTTTGGTCCGCCCCGCCTAACTTGCATTCTCCGGGTGGGTGTCAACAACGCAACAAAACAGCAACAAACAAAAAAAAAAGGGGGGGGGTATCACTAAAACGAGCGCAAAAAAAAAACGCACACACACACACACAGCCCAACTCCCACAGGAGAAAACAGACAAACAAACTAGAGAAACAAATGCAGGCCGCCAATGAACGCTTCCCAATGCCGAGCGCATTGGCTAACACGCCTATCCAGGCAGCCACTGTCACCAAGCTTCCGCTGGCCGAACCTTTTGCGAACGTGTGCTGCTAACGCCTCTGCGGGGGAGATGATGCTCAGCTGCGCCGCCGTTCCCGAGTCTCGGTCGCCGACCGTTGGCAACGCGTGCCGGACTGTTCTGGCAGCTTCCTATGCTGCTGAGGCTTGGCGCGTGGAAGGCCGAGATGGGCCCCCCGGAGGCGAGGGCGGAGGAGTTGGGGTTGCGCCGGAACGGAGACGTTCGCCGCGTGGAGGGGCTCGCTGTCCGCGACGAGGCGGTCTGCTGCCCCTGCGCGGCGGCGCTGGACGCCGGTCTGGCGGGGGAGGAGCGGCGGTGCGGCGTGGCGATGCGCCTGTCCATCAAGGTCTCCACTTTTTTCCCTAAAATCGTCACAACGGCCTGGAGGTTGCGGCAGTCAGCCTCCCTATCGGCCAACTCCTGCGCCATCCGCGCGAGCCGTTCCTCGAACGTCTCCTTCTGCCGGCGAAGCTCCGCCTCAAAAATTATCTTTTGCCGAAGGAGCTCGGCACGAAAGGCGTCCATCTCATCAACGCTCATGACTGCTTGAAATGCCTGCAATTTGCTCCAGACCCCCGTGTTTCCCGCCTTCCTCCTTTTTTTTTTTGTTGTTTTCCCCAAACTCCCACTTGGCCCGGCGTGACAGACTGGA